CTTTGAATCAATCTGACTGGATGATCTGGTGAACTGGAAAGTGACCTGAGATGACATGATGTGAATTGGAGCTATAGAAATAAACTGAATAGAATTGAATTAGCAGGGATAAAGGACAGGCTGCAGCTCCACAGGAAACACTAATGAGATTCAGGAGGAAGCTGCATCGCGTGCCGGAGAATCCTCCAACCAAGAAGTCTAACTTTTATTAACCCTTTCATGCACAGTGATCATTACAGTATACAGCTCTTTTTGTTCTATTTATAATGCCTTTTTTAGGCACTTATGCAAAGAATAACCTCCCATTAAACAAACGGCTGGACCAACATTTCACCAGAAAGGTGACTCAGCAGATTCTGGGGTGACCTTTATGTGAGGGGGGGTTGGGACCTCATGGAGCGCAGCGTTAGGCCTCTGAAGGAAACTTTATTGATAGACAGAAAGGGACGACGTTAACAGGAACAACAGGAATACATTCATGGATTTATACCGACGGGCTGAAGCCCAGAACACACCTGGTGACATCACTGCACACACCATCAGAAAAAAAGCATTTATTAAAGTAGCTGCATTTAGCTTTGATATGAGCAGGTAAATAAGACAATCTGCCAATGATAGGAGTATTTTAACTCTTATAGGGCCTCTGAAATACTTTGAAAAATCCACATTTCAAGTCAACTGTTAATGAAATCCTTAATACCTTTGAAACATTTAAAATATGGATATTTTGATGATTACAATGAATGTCAATGTAACAACAAGAAATGCTAACTTACCAAAATATATTAAGAAAAATAACAAAAGTGCTTCTTGAAGAAATTCATGAAAACACTGAGTGAAAGAAACACATTTCTAGACCTCAGTGAGGGAGCACTGAGGTCTAGAAACACATTTCTAGACCTCAGTGAGGGAGTACTGAGGTCTGCAAGTGATCAAAAACTGTAACACACCCTATAAAGGGTTAAAATAAGATCATTAGATAATATTCTTTTCTTATTCTAAATGATCTTGTTCCGTCTGACTTTCCTCCTTGAATGAAGAACAGAAAGATTGTCTCATTTAGATGAACATTTCTGGCAGTTCGGAGCTGAAAGCAGAGACCATGAGGGTTTGAGCTAAATGTGACATCAATGTGCAAATGGCGTCTTCATTCAGAAGCATGGTGCGGGTCGGAGCTGCCCGACCCGGTTGGCGCTGTGCGGTCCGGAAGTGGAAATGCTGAAGGAGGAGGACCGAGCAGCGATGGCCGCCGCGGCTCCTCCTGCTACGCTTTCTCACATTCTTCTGCTTCTGTAGGCTGTAGATCTGCCGTCTCCACCTGACTGCGGTGAAGCAGGAGGCCAAGCAGGAGGCCAAGCAGGAGGCGCAGCAGAATGCGAAGCAGCAGGAGGTGCAGCAGGAGGCGCAGCAGGAGGCGCAGCAGGAGGCGCAGCAGAATGCGAAGCAGGAGGCGCAGCAGGAGGTGCAGCATGGCCCCTAGCCGGCCTGCAGCAGCTCAACAGTTCAGTCTGTTCTCAGGGCGACTTGGTTACACAGCGGTGAGGAAAAAAAACACATGCAGGTCCACCCATCAGTCTGGGACAATAACCCCCCCCCCCATCAGTCTGGGACAACGGGACAACGCCCCCCCCGTAAAGGACGGAGGAGGCTGAAATAAAACCAGCCCGGTTGGTTCCTACTGAGGTCTGTAACCGGCCAGCTGAGGCATGTAGCTGGACAGGGGCGCCCCCGTGTCATCCTGCAGGCTGTCTGACTCGGGGGTCTGCTCGGCGTCCTCTTTGAGGGGACAGAAGGGCTGCTGCTCCCCCCCCAGCGGCCTAAAGTCGTCCGGGTTCGGAGGAAAGACCGTCTCTCTGGGCGAGCGCTGCAGCAGCACGTCCGGGTGTTCCTCCGAGTCCAGCAGCGGCTGCGTGGACTCGGAGCGGGAAAAGATGGAGTGCTGCGACTGGGAGCCGGGGGTCTGGCCCTTGTAACCGCTGGA